ATATATATATATATATATATATATATATAGTGGCGGAACTTTTTAGGGGCAGGGGGGGGCCCTTGACCCCCCAAGAAAAATTTTTTTAGTTATTTGGTACTAAATTTTTCGAATATTACTTTTGCCCCCCCAAAATTTTTTGTAAATATTTATCTTGATCTATTAATTTTTTTTGTTTTTTCTCCAAAATCTTATATAAATTATAGATAAATATATCATGTTTAATATAAAATATAAAACAAGATGGTTAAAACTTGTATTATTTTAAAAAAAAAAATTATGAATATTACTTATTTTTGAATTTTTTTATCTAACGCCTTAAAAAAAAAGATGAGATCGTGCCATGAATCTCCGAAATATTAAGTGCAGTATATTATTAGAAAAAATTGAATTAATTTAGAATTTTTTGTGATGATTAAAATATGATATATGTAATATATATATATGATATTTTAATTAAAAATTAGTTATATAAACTTATTTTTTGCAATGTTTTGTGCACCTAATTTTTTTTTCAGGGCGCTGCCCCGAACCCCAAAAGTTTATTTAGCCCCCCTACATTTTGATCCTGGTTCCGCCCCTGTATATATATATATATATATATATATATGTGTGTGTGTGTGTGTGTGTGTGTGTGTAAGTACTGAGAAGACCGTTTCTTTGGTGTTGTTGCTGCTGTAAAATAACAAATTTAATCTTCTTTTTTCTTTTCAAACGACGTCGGTATAGATTCATGTAACTGAATTCTTTAGAAGATAAAGTCTTCCTACTATACTTGTACCCAATTTTTATTTGTTCGGTGAATTTCGATTGAATATATATATATATATATATATATATATATATATATATATATATATATATATATATACACATACTGTATTTTCGATTGAATATATATATACTGTGTTTCCCACACACACTCACGCCATTAATTACATCATTACACAAAAGTTAGCCTTTCTCAGTTCACATAAAAAATAAAAAAAAAATCCAAACTTCTAAATACATATTGATATACCTAAATGGGCCGGCCCAATGGGCCCTCAAATTTATCTACTAATTAGGCCCACTACACGAAAGCCCAAATACCTTCAAAGCAAGGCTTGGGCCCAACAAAGTAAGCCCAATCCAATCACCGAGATATAAATAGGTGTTTTACTCACTTCTAAAGGTACGTTCTCATATTTGACAATTCACCTCGAGTTTTATTCTCTCTACTCTCTTTACGATCCGTACATCTGACTTGAGCGTCGGAGGGGTTTCCGCCGGATCAACCCCCGGCTTAGTTCACGTGTGCTCTTTTCGTAGGGATCTCAAGAGCATCGAATTGACTAGCTACTGATCAACTTTGCTCTCCCAGCTCGTTTTCTACATTATCTTAGGTGAGCTAAACTTTAGCATCATCATTTTGGCGCCGTCTGTGGGAACGATGCAAACCAGATCACGTAGCCAACAAGATCCTCCTGAGGCGTCAGCTCGGAGAGAAAACGACACAGCTAATAACCTCCCCGCTCGTGGAGGATCTGGTATCCCACCTCCTCCACGCGCCGCGGAGCAACTTCCTCCACGTGCCACGGAGCCAGCTCCTCCACGTACTGCAGATCCACCTCGCGAGGTTCAGGTGATCCCTCCTCGGGACCCACCACTCGTCGATCCACCACTCCCTGCTCCTCGAACGGTTCAGATAACCGAGGACGCACTTCAACGTATGATAGCGGAAGCTTCTACTCGCGCCGCCACGGAGGCCGTAACTCAATATATCGCCACGATGGGAGCGAACGCTCCCAATGCGATACCAGCACAAGCTCCACCTATAGTACCACCAATGGCTCCACCGCCGATCCAGAATCAAATAAGTGTCTCCTCCTCTACGTCGGACCCACGGTCCCGAGTGCAGCTATCTACTAATCACAGAGGAGCACAGCCCAGACAACAACGTCGACGCTCACCCCTACGGGGGAATGCATCACCACCAAGAATCCCTCTCTTTAATGAGGGAGAGGGCGAAGTAAACAGCCGAATGTCTCGCCAAAACCTTTTCTCCCAACCAAATAATCAAATGGGTGAGAGGATGCTTCTCCCAGCAAGACGCAGTCCCTTCACCATAGACATCCTCAACGAGGTATTACCT